ATGTTGTGCAGTCCTGGTCTACACCATCGTCACTTTGTGAGGGACGGCTACCAAAAAAAAAAAAAAAAAGATCTAATTAAAAAAAAATATCCGGAATTTCTAGGGATGGGAAAATTTCCCGGGAATTCTTTTGTTTATTATTACCTTTTTTAAATTAAGAATTCTAAAAATCGCTCGGTTTCTCCATTAAAGCACGTTTGCATTTCCCATTAACACTGCAGAGTCCCTTAACATTACAAATAATGGATTCCTGGTAATTTTATTGGTCTATTAATTTACACCTTCTATTCATTAACTGTTTTAACTTTAATGCAAGGACACCTTAAAAATCCAGAACATTAACATGCTGACATGCAGCAAGCATCACACCTTACTAAAATCCCCGCGGAGCCTCCTCGGTAAAAGAGGAAAGAAGAAGATTAAATTATGAAAATAAAAGTATACGAAATTAAATATGCTTTTTTTTTAAACAAGAAACAACAGTTTAAAAAATGTAGCGTAATAATAGTAGGCCATGAAGTTTCATTAATCCCTATTTCGAAGTTAATATTAATTGTGCTATTTTAATAAGTTAAGGTTTTTGGACTTAATACCGGATACGGAATGGGCCAAAAAAGGGTGCGCATCGTGTTTGCGCAGTTTATTTTGGTAGAGTAGTAGGCCTATGTGAAAAATAAACAATCCGTTTACAAAAGAATTGTGAAGTTAGAGGTATTGGATAAATAACAAGACGTGCATGGCTAAGAAAATAAATTCAATTATTGTTTAAATTGAGTTTAGTTACATATTTTATTTTAAAAGCTGGGCATAGTTTCCAAACCGATAATATGGGTACTTTTTTTCGTTACTCCCAAAAACTCTTCTGCTTGGCTTGTGCCGAACCCAGAGATTTCCTGACACTGGCGTCGTAATGTCTAGCCCGGGATTATAAATCAAACATTGTAAAATTCCGCCATTTGCTTCATGCCTGTTATACCAGAGAAAATCAGTAACTTTTAAATTTTAGTAACATAGGTACCGGTACTTAGATATTTTAAATTGAGAATGAAATTAAGAAGCAAAATGCACCTGATACTGTTACTGATACTGATACTGTATTTAACAGTACCTGTATGAGTATGAATAATGAATGTTAAGTTATTGTTACATTACATGAAAGTTAAGTAAGTTAGACTTTGTTTAAATGAAGCACCAGTAATAGAACTAATTTTTCATATAGCACTTTCTGTTAAAAAGTTTGTTCATATTTTTTGTTATTAAAAACTTACTGGCTTAATTATTGTGAGAGTGACAGATAAAAATATTATGATAAAAATATTTTTTCTACTAAAGAAGAGCTAAAACCACCCATAATAATAAGACAATTTATTTAAAAATTGGTTGAAATGTTCAACATTGGGTAACCTAAAAAGTATTAGTATTAGGCCTAAAACTTAACGAGATTCAGATTGAATTACAAGAATTCTTAAATTAAAAATATATCATATTATATCCCATTAAAAAAATTGTCTTTACTTTAAAAATTTTTTTGGAAACATGTTTTGGTCAATTTATGAAATCCTCGCCACTTTGAGTTTGAGTTTTTGTTTAGGATTCTGTCCCTTTTGTTTATTCTTGGATTGTTACTAGAGTTAACTATTCTTTAATACTAATTCACAGATGGAATGTTTTAGTTATAATTTCATTGGGTGATTAATTTAATATTTAAATTTTTCGGTAATTTGGAAAATGGGTATAGTATTGTATTAATTTTCTGACAACTTTTTGATTTTCTATTTGATGGGACCTGCAATAAAGTGTTTAAAAGCGTTTTCTATGAAACTGTAATTTGGGTTTTAATTATCGAAGTGTCCACATGTCCAGCGACCAGACGAACAAATTCTGGAGATATTTGTCCGTCAGCCTTGTCACGTGACCGCAAATAGTGGATCAGAATCAGAAAAATGGCGACGGAGATGCATGTGGGCCACGAGTTGACTTCATTTCAACAAATAAGGGTAGGGGCAGGAGAGCAATGGATACTAGAAGGAAGAAATACTGAAAGAGAAAGGATAAAAATGATAGTGAGGGTGATAAATAATTAAAGCGGGGAGATCAATAGTTCACAAAGAAATATACCCTACATCTTAAAATAGGGCCAATATAGTGTGCTCCTGGGGTAGCCTACTTCTCACGGAATATTAATAGCCTAAATAAAACTTTTTTGACGAAGGTGTATAAAAAATCATCTGGCAGCTAATGTTCTGATTTTTTTGGTTCATATTTTAAATTTAGGCTACTTGGTAGATCTTTACAAGATATTTAAACCAAGATAACAGACTTTTTAGTTATTTTGAAGGTGTACCACCTCAATTTAAAATGACACAACGCTTAGTTAAAAAAAAAAATATATATATATTAAACTTACCTGATTTCTTCCAATTTCATTTTTATGACAAACTAAAATTAATTTTTAAAAAATGGATGTTGTTAAAGCCTGTTCATTAACGTAATTAGAACAGTGATTTTTTTGTTGATCTGACTATTCTAGCACGCAAAAATAATTTTTTAAAAGAACCCTACCATCACCTAATACAGGCCTGTACAACATAAGGCCGGCATGCGGCCGCGAAGTAGCAAAATATTCTTTATTATTATCTTAATAGCCTTTGACCCTGTCCTATTATCTTTCGGCCCGAACAAGTTTTTCAAAAAGTATTACGGCCCGCACAAGATTTTCGTTAAGTATTACGGCGCGCCTTACATTTTGAGTTGTGCGGGCCTGACCTAATACATTAAAAGCGTCTCAAAACAGAATGGCATGGTCCTTGATTTCATAACAATAGCTTCATTTCCAAGTACCAATCAAAATGATACTCTTGAATTTAAATTAATTATCATTTTTATTAGGACTAAGGCTTAAATATAAAGAATTATATTAATTTTTAAAAAGTCCATTAAAAAACTATAGGTTTTCCCATTTACATTTAATTAATTATGATACAAAATAAATTTTTGTTAATCTATGGCCCCCTCACACTTTTAATAGTTTTATTTCACTTGACATTATTATTTTTTTAATAAAATTTGGCAAGTTTTGAGGTTTTTTTTGGAGTTAATGTCTTTATCATGGCCTGGACTATCACAATTGAAAACACCTCAATTGTTTTAGTAGCCTAATTATTTATTTTGGGACCATCCATGTAACACTATTTTCATATATTTTTACACCCTCCTCCAAGGTAACACCCGGTAGACATTTTCATTGGGTACAGTGAATACAGGGCTGCCACTTACTTTCTATAATCCCCAAGATATTGTCCAAAAATTAAAAAAATACCCAAGATTTCTCAAGGTTACAAAAATACACTATTAAAGAGTTTAAAAATTAAATTAATACAATAACAATACTGCACGGTAGTTGACTGAAGGTTATTTAATTAGACTATTTTTTACAAGGTTAATCACATCAAATAAATTATATAATTTTCTTTTGAAATCATTTTATACAAAATTTAAACTCCATAGAATTAGGTTATAAAAATTAATCCATTCCACCATACAATTTAGTAAAAATATCCACAAAAATGTCATAGAATTCCATTTTTCTATTTGTTTTTATCTTGAATAATTATACAAATTAAAGCGTTTTTTTCTTCCCTTTGACAATTTTTAAGCTATTCAACTTAAATGAACTATCAGTATCAGGCAACAACATATTAAACTTCAAGCAAATTGATTACCGGTATTGAAAGTTATTAGGCATGTTGTGTTTGGAAAAATATAAGCTACTCCCTCTTTAGCTTTGTTCATATTCTGTGGGTTTTTCAAATAATTTTAATAAATTGATTTTTGCTATGATGAGTAAACTATGACTTTGGACTTTAAAAATTGTTGTTGGACTTTGTGTTTATTAATGAGGTCCTATTTGAATTTTTCAATAAAAATTCGCAGTATTTTCAAAAGCTAAAATCTTCATTGTCCTGGTAGATAATCTTTAAATCAGGCCATGTTAGCCACAACTAATTTTCAAATAAATATTTAGATCCGCATGAGTAGTAATCGGAGTATTTGCTGAGGTGAATATTTGAAAAATGTTGGATATTCGGCCAGGGTGAATGTCTGAGCCGCTTTCCTGTAGTTCCCTACATTCTCCTTCACACATGTGATCTTTCTCTCCCCCCTGGAAGTGTGAGGTCATTCAGGGATGTCTGAATATATGGCCCTATTTCATAAGTATTATATATAGGCCTATTTTATAAATAATTTTTATAATAAGGTGCTTAGCATTTTAGATGAATGCTCTTTAAAATGTATAGATGGGGTTACCAAATAAAACCAATTAAGCCTTTAGCCCAAGTTTTAACTCTTACACCTCGTCCTGAGCCAACTTTTTAAAAGCAGTTTTTACTTTCAATTTCTAAAACATTAAAATGCAAAACTCACATATTGTAAAAGGAAGTACCAAAAAAGAAATTTACAATTTTGTCATATGTGACTGACACTAACATCATGGAATGCTCATAAATGAATAGTAATTGAGAATGCTAATTTCTAACAAGGATTATGTTAAACATCTTTTGACACTTTAGAAATGAAATTAATTTAATCATTATTTAGTGACCCTACATTTTGTTAGCACATCCTTATGTCTTATGTGATCAGTAAGTCAGCAAGATATTTTATGTCAGTTCAAACACAAATAACCACACTTGTCTGTCCAAACCTTGGAATCAGTTCTTTCATGGTCACCCCCATGAGTTTCAAATTGGTCACATATGACCATTTTTGTAATTAAATGATTTCAACGATTAAGTGTAGTTACAATAAAAGACAAATTTAAAACCCTATTTCATTGCTATTTGTTTCAGATGCATATCTTGCAATCGGTCATGTTTGATGAAATAACCCGTTAGCAGGCTTATTTTAAACATTGTAACACAATGGCAACACAAGCTCCAACATCAGCTGATGCTTGTTTAAGTATTGTTCATAGTTTAATGTGCCATCGGCAGGTATGTTTTTTTAGCTGAAAATTCTTTCATTAACTCATTACAGTTTATGGCTAATTTGTGTGTGTCATTTACCAAGGTACCCGGTGCTGTTCATTTATAATTAGAACAACGCATGGCTGAATAAGAAAAAACTACAGAAGTAAATTAAAAGTTCAAAACAATCCTTATTTTGATAATTCCTAAAAATCTTATCTTTGATGTACCCAAAAGGTATTAGGCTAAGTTCACTAAATAAATAATAAGTATTTACCTGAATACAAGTTATCAGTATAGCAAGGGCTTATTATTGACAGTGTGAAATATACAAATATGTCTTAGAGATGGTTTCAGTCTTTTAAAGGTTTCACAACACTGCTTTTTAAGATCAAGAAGTTAAACTCTTCATAAATCTGAACATATTTAGATTTTATGAGTTTTAAAGTTTTTATAGCAACTAACCTTTTAGTCTTGGGTATTTAGACAATAAAATTTGTTTTATATTTTTAATTAACATTTTTTTTCAGGGTGGTGAGAGTGAAAGCTTTGCAAAAAGAGCCATTGAAAGTTTAGTCAAAAAGCTAAAGGAGAAGAGAGATGAGTTGGATAGCTTGATAACTGCCATAACTACAAATGGAGCACATCCTTCTAAATGTGTGACCATTCAACGGACTCTTGATGGCCGTTTACAGGTATAAGTTCTTTTTGACATTATAAAATATAAATGCTGCTGAAATTAACATTGTGTTTATAAAAAAAGGAGATCCCGCAACATAAAAATGTATATTTTAAATATTAACTTTAGCCTTTGATATCATGTTTATTCTTGCAACCCTTGTAAACAGGTTTAACAAATTTTCCAGGTCGCAGGTAGAAAAGGATTCCCACATGTCATATACGCAAGAATCTGGCGGTGGCCAGATTTGCATAAGAATGAACTGAAGCATGTTAAATTTTGCCAGTTTGCATTTGACCTGAAGCAAGACAGTGTCTGTATCAATCCTTACCATTATGAGAGAGTGGTATCACCTGGAATAGGTTAGTTCATCATTATTCTTCCAGGTATTAAAATAAAATAAAAATGCAAGAAGTCCTTAAGTCAAATGAGACTTTACTGTACCAAAAAATACAGCAAACTTTTCTTATAATTAGCTACATTGAGTCGTTTAATCTGCATTTGAAAACGTCTTTATTTTTGTTTCAGATTTATCAGGTCTGTCTCTTCACCATGCAGGTTAGTTGATTTCTGTGAAACAGTGGCTGCCACCATTGTCTGTTTTATTGCGGTGTCAACCACTGGGGTCTGTTGTGGCCCTGTCAGCCACTGGGGTCTGTTGTGGCCCTGTCAGCTACTGGGGTCTGTAGTGGCACTGTCAACCACTGTGGTCTGTAGTGGCACCGTCAACAACTGGTGTTTATATTTTGGGGGGGTCAGGTGTGGCTGGTTGATGTATTTCTAATGGTGATACTCCTGCTGTCAGTCACTGGGTATGCCCTGTACAACCATTTGTGGGAAAGATCACTGTATGCTTATTTATAACTTGAATATCTTTACCCATAAAATACTTCAAAAGTTGAACACTTCTATTTGGAATTATGTTTATCGATGATTGTAGCTATTGTTATATCATAGGTTGTAAGATTAATATAATTATTTCAAGGCCATTTCTTAAATGTGCCATGCAATTTTTGAAACTTATCAGTGCCAAGAAATCCAGAGCCTTATACAGAACTTACAGGAGGAAATTTAGGAAGGTTACTTGCATTGTCAACCAATACATGTAGGGGAATTATTTAAATATTGATAATTTATTGGTTCTAAGTTTTAGATAATATTCTTATCACTGCAGTGCTTTATATTTTGTTCCTTTTTTTAAAAATTTACTGGAGTTGAACGTTTTTCAACCTTTTTATTTGCTGTAGTAGTTATAATCCCAGAACCCGCAAATTTGAACGGCTATTTTCACATAGCAGCATAGTTCCATATCACATAACATTTATTTTATTTATCATTTAAAAAAAAATTATGTACAATTGTTTTTCAAATATTGATGACATCTAATGATATATTAACAATTCTTACAAATAAAGAAACTGCATGCTTGTTGGATTAGATGAAGGAAAAAAAGTATACGTTTTTATGTGAGATACATTTTAGCTTTGACCTTTTTTCACATTGAATAACCATGTATTTAATATAGAGTCTTAATTCCTTAAAAAATTTAAATTGCCAAATTCATATGGGCATCATCTTATTTGTGTTAGGATTCATTATTAGTTTTGTTTTGGGGTCTGCTATGTGAGACATCAAATATGAACTATCTATTTGTCACTTAATTAATTGTGTAGTGCCACACATCCCCTGCACAGGCCCTCCTGGGAGGCTTGTCAAGGATGAGTACAGTAGCAGCGCATCCATGTCCATCACAGAACATGCCCAGCTTACAGGGGACACACAGACAGTCCAGCATCCACCAGCTGATTCATTTCTTCACATGCCAGGTAAGATGTTCAGTTCACGTTTATGGATTTCACAAATATTTATAAATATTAATTTAAAACAATTATTGGAGTACTTATAGCAATTATTATTGTAGCTTTCGCAGTGAAGTCAAGATTTACCTTTTAAACCAGTTCATAATACTATTAAGGAGATAAATATGGGCTCACAATTATTATTGATTTAAATTTATATACAAATTGACTACGGAAAGAAAACCCATGGTCTTAAATGCTCACTTGAAAATATCCAGCTATAATAAAAATGTTCAAGCCTCATTACAGTTTTTTTATTTAACTGATACTGCAGCTTGTAAAATGTTCAGCATTGAAATACAATTTCTTGTTACAGTGTCCAAAATTTGGTTGATTATGTTTTGTAAAAATCCCAATGCTTATTTTTCTCTAGTCTTTGTCTCTAATACTTTGTATTGGTTGATACAACTACTGAATAGCCTTTAATTTTGAATTGTTTCTGTGCTTATAAGCTACTTTTATGAAGCTCATCTGGGAGCTGTCATTTCTATGACTAGAGATGCATGTTTGTTAACCATTTGTTGTGTAGGTTTGTAAAATTAAAGTTGATAGAGTGTCTAGATTTAAGGACAGTAGCCAGAGACCTCAACCATCTCCACAGAAGGACCAACACACCTGACTCTAATACCTCTTGTTTGATCAAATGCTTTAATGTAATTTCTTGTTTTCATGCTAGGCACACGGCCTGTGACCTCCACGGCACACCCCCTCCCCTCCCCGTCCTCCTCAGTTAACAGTGTCTCTGTCGTAGCGCCCCCCCAGCAGCAGGTGCCGCCCGTCAGTGTTGTAGGGGGGAGTCAAATGGGGGCCACCCTGTGCCGCTCTGAGAGCGGGGGGTCCCTGTCACATCCCCACCACCCTCTCAACTCCCAAGCCAACCAGCCATTGTCTCCCGTACAGCAAGCCTTGCCCAGACTAGATTTATCCCGGCCAAGTGAGTTCTAGTGACCATTCATTGCTTCGGTGATGGGTGTGCTTTAACTAACTATTAATCCTGTCAATTAACCAGCTTGGGAGAGCCAGTCAGCTGGAGCTTTAGCTGCTTATCTCTCATTAGTTCCTTGTAGTTTGTAGAATCACATAATACTTGCTACATGCTTTTTATTAAAACAAAAATTTTCTCATATAATATCCTTTTGTCCCTACCTAACTAGCTACTTGATTATTTCCATGTGCTTTAGATTTATAAAAAGCCTTAAGATATATGTAAATAATTTAAATGCCAAAATGCAGGATTAAATATGCAATATTGTAAAAGTTAATCAAAATAATATCAAACATCCAGTCGAACCCGCTTATCTCGACCTCGGTTAACTAGCCAACCCTGTTGTGTCGACGTTTTTGAAGTGGAACCACCAAATTCTCTCTTTGTCTAAGTCTTAGCATTTTCTCCTCGGTTATGTCGATTCTTTTATGTCGCTGAACTCTGATATCTCGAGCATTAAAGGCGGCCAAAGTTGCCACTTAACCTTGGTTACCATGATCCCCGTGACCAATTGCCGGCTTTTGAACTTCGCATTAAGAAATAGCAAACAACAAATAAACAAGTTTTTCATAATTAAAAGCAATTATTTATGTCTCAGAATACAGGACTTGTGTTTTAGAATGAACCTAGGAGTAATTTAAATAAATATGTTTTAATTTGAGGTTTAAGAAACCTGGTAGAGTCCATATTATAAATGATCACAATTTGCATTGTGCAAAATGTTGTCATGGGCAGGCATTCACGTTCACTTGCATAATGGTACTAGGTCAGAGTTTCATAAGAGTTTGCCATGTGCAAATGCTATTAAACCATTGGTCTGGGAAAGCTTTAATTAAATAGTCATGTGCCAAAATTGAAAGTTCAAAATAAGTAGTCCCTAAATAGTATTTTAATAATAAGGGGATACGTTGCCTTTTATAAACTATATAGTCATTGCGCAAGGGTTCACAATATGTGGAGGCTTCGTCCATAGTAGAAAATACCAAACGAACTCGCACTTTAAAAATTCAAAGCTCAAAAAGTACTAAAGTTAAAATGTAAATTTTAAAAATTTTGAATTTGCTATAAAAAACTGTACTATTAAACAAATATTTATTATTTATTTACTGAAGTACCTGCATTTATTAACGCATATCATGTACATAAAGAAATTTCAAGCACATGTTAATATATTGCCGCCATATTGGTTTTCGGTTATCTCGATCATCAGTTGTCTTGATGCTTTTTGGCAAACACCGAGGCCTTCGACATGACCGGGTTCTACTGGAGATAGGTTTATTAGAACTTGGCTTAGCAAAGCAAGGTGTTAAAGGTTTATTAGAACTTGGCTTAGCAAAGCAAGGTGTTAAATTTTCTGGATAGCTATTTTGTAGTCTCGGTGAGACAACCAAAATAAATGTCTAACTTTCATCTCTCTACCTTTCTATTCATGAAGATAACTACCACACAAATAATGCTATTAATGTAAGATAAAGCTACAGTGGTGATCTAGAAAACAAGATAAGGAACATAAAATTGATGATTACATAGGACTAAGAGAAAAGACAATAAGTCACTACTCTAATGTTTATTTTGTTAAAAACTCATCAAAGGCTGAACCTTCAAATCATACCCAAAGGGTTCCAAGATGGCCTTTCAGGGGTTGTGAGGGAAAATTGATTATAATATAAGATGAGCCAATTAGTTTTAAGTAATGATATAAATGTAAACAATTTATAAAGAAAAAATTCTGCAATAACATTTTACTTTAATGTGTGAAGTCACAGGTTTAGTCTCCAGTTTTAAAATGCACCTACTTTTGTAGGGGGTACAAGACTTAGTCAAAATTCATAAGGGTAGCAGATGTATACAAAAGTTGTAAAACCAGCATTAGATGATAAAATCATTTATAATATTTCTTTTCGTTATTGTTCTGTATTCAGAGAGATCAATATTGTGTAAAATATATGTCAACAGGCTTTAAAAAGGCAAAACAAAGATTATATGTTACCATAACTGTTAGTTAGTATGTTAGTCAGATTTCGTTGTGTTGTACTCAACTCTATGTCAAATAACGGAAATATTAAATAAGAACATGGGTAGACAACACAACATGTTAGGTCCTTTTTCTTTACTACTGGTCCAGCAACTTGTTTCACTAGGCACTATTGAGCTGTGATAATTTTGATAGTACTAAACATGCTATGGGTTTGGTTCTCAAGCATTTGAGAACCCTGATAAAACTGCTTTTCAGTCTTTACGCTTAAGTGAAAATAAAATCAAAATGATCCCATTATTGATGTGTGCCTGAAAAGGCTCTGTTGTTATGTGCTAACCCTAACATTGTTATAATACCATTTCACGCAATTCACATTTTGTATTGTTATGCACTAACAGCTTAGTCTAGTCACTTTCTGCTCCAACCCAATCTAAACTGTTTCCACAGTAACAGCTAGCTTAACATGAACCCTTAACATGTCTGACTCTGAACTGTAACTTATCATGCATTGTTAACATCATCCCCACTTTACAATTCTTTAATGCTTACTTGCATGTTTTAAGGGAAAGGTCTCATTTTGTAGAAGAAGGGCATATTTTTATTAAGTATAAAAAGATTGGTAAGTCATTGTTTGTTTAAAATGGGAATATTCTTACATATTTGGGAAAACCTAAAAAAAAGTTAGATATAATAATTCATCTTCAATCATGAAACATGGTTTAGTTTATGGGTCCGGCTATTCGGACCTGGGTACCAGAAGTGAGAGGTTGGGTTTATTAAAAAATATTTAAAATATTATTGTTGGGTTTGTAAGATAAAATTTGTTATTGAATGAAAGATAATAGAATGGACTATATGTTTATAAACCTAATTCTTCAGTTTAACTAAAATAAACGACCACAAATGACATCCGAATATCATTTAGTCTAATTCTACCTGGGTCCAAATAGCAGCGATGCGTGCCCGGTTCCATTTTCCACTTGGTTAGTTCATGTTGTCCTGTTTTTTTATACGTAAATTTTTATGAAAAATATATACAGAGTTTATAAAAGGGCACATAAACAGGCATAAATATATATCAAGATAAAGAAGGATACCATTAAATAGTTGAGACTTGTTCAGAGAGATTCAGAATGTTTTGGGAGAGATTGAAAGTTTCATGTTTAAAGGAATAGCTCATGAGCGATCATTAGCTTATGTGATGTTGAACAATGATGGAGTTTGTCAACAGGATCAATAAAAGTTAGAATGGAGAATATTTAACTAAGGATCATCGGCTGATATTTTTCTATAAATTTTGATATATGTATTTATCAATATATATTGGTACTTATTATCATGTTGATGGGCATTACTGGCTTCCTCTGTGAAGCGGCTTCCCGATATATGTCAGTTTTAACTGGTTTTTCTTTAAAGTTCTAAGAAAATCTATTTATTGAAATTTGATTTATTTTCTTTTTTCATTAAAACCTTTTCATTTCTTTCTTCCACTAATTATACATTTAAAAAAAAAATAACTAAGTTGTGAGGCTAGATAATTGAGAACTGTTGTAGATTTTTTTCATCTTGTTTGACTGTCTGGCTGTATAGATATTTTGTGTGATTTAATTTAGTCATGGCATATTTTATTCCCTTGCACATTTTCAAATATACTTATAGTTATTGACTCTTAAATTTATAAATAAAATTGTGTCGTTTTCTTCTGAGAATTAGAAAAATTTCATTTGGATTTTTGCAATTTTGTATGTTAGTCACTGAATTTTAAATAAGGTCCATACCATATTTTATGTCATTTTATTTTTAGAGGTAGGGAAATAATTAATTGGACAATCAAATACATTCAGGGATGGTGCATACACTTTTTGACAAATACTTTTGAAGATCTTATAATTTAACTGTCTCATTATTCATTTTTTTGGGGAATAAGTTTTAAGTCAGGTTCAGGAGGAGTGAGGAGGATAAACCCTTTAAATGCCAGATGGTCACATTTTAATTATGGCCCCTTGTGTTGCTAAAATACTATTTGCCTTCAACAGATAACCATTTGCCCACAAAAGTTCACTTACTATAATTGTTTATTTTGTTTACTTGAAGTTATCAAGCCAAAGAATAAAAATTTCAAATCCACTATTAGCATATAGCTTGAAAACCTTTTTAAGTAGGTCAGTGTCCTTGTTTTGCTGAATTTGTGATATCAACACATGTGTTTAATTATTTAAAATGAGACATTCTCAAACATGTCAGATATTTTTTTATATTCTTGCTGAAAGGTTAGTTCCATATGTGAATGTAATCTTTGAGGTCCTTTAACTGCATACATATAGTGTTATATGAGAAATTTGTTCACTAAGCTCCCTAAGAGTGTTAGATTAGAACATATGACCAAAATAACATTTTATCTTATACCCATACTAGAATATATAATTACAAAAGGCCCTTGTATATAAAATTTCAAGGGCATCATTAGAGAACTATGAACACAAGGTTAGCTTACAGCATCAGTGAATTATTTACACTACGATTGTACTCATTGACTTTGCATTATATCAGGCACAAGTGGAATGAGCTCACATCCAAGTCCCATGGGCGTACCCACACCCCCAACCCATCCACCCCAAGTGGTGCGCAGCAACAGCCAGGGTCACGGTCACACCAACATGCCACAAGAGACCTACCCCCGACCCGTCCACAACCAGGCCAATCTGCGGCACTATCCCCAGCGTAAGCTACATTCCATATGGTTTTAACATGTTTTATTAGAGATAACCAATTGACATTCCAGTGTGTTTAAAAAAAGAAAATGTCTTTAATTTTGAATATCTGTTCGTGGTCAATATATCATTTTTGAGTAACTAAGAATCAATATACAGTTAAACCAGACCTGTTTACTCTTACGATCTTGGGGTACAATGTATGATTTTGACGTGAATACATTATATATACTGTATGTTATTTATTTACTATTAAGATAATGTATTGAACGATTTTGTAATGATATTGTACGATTTTAAGAGGGTAAACAGGTCTGGTTAACCTGGAAAATCATCATATGATCTTATATAAACTATTTCCCATTGTAATACTCTTTACTTGTCTTGTAAACCATTTTTGTTGATGACTGTAACCGTTTATCCTGTTGTTTGTGATACAGTGGTGATGGTTAACTAAGTCTATGATAATTGAATAACTCTCACCTCAAGACATCAAATGTAATTCAAATGAATCATCCAGTCCCTTAATGTAACTAATCACTGGCACTTTATTTCAATAAAATGGAATATACATAATACATTAACAACTTTATTTATAGTACAGGATATTCATATATATTCACTTCTGTGTTGACTAATTATCCTTACTATATTCTTCACATTAGTACACAATTTATTGTAGCACAGAATAATCATAATCTTTATAACATTTCTGTCTACCCTCGTCCATTATATCTATTTATTGTCTCCCTCCAAATCCAAATAACATCACATTAGCACACACAAAGTTATACTGTTACAATGACTATAAACAATGACTCAACTGAAATGTATGTTTCCAGCTTCCCCTTCAGCATGGTCAGATAATGCAACATCACCCTACTCCCAGGCCATGTCTTACTGTAAGTTCAGGTGTTTTACTCTAGTCTACAACAAAAGCCCAAGACAAGAACTTGGCCTTTTTAAATAAAACTTAATCCCTTTGTCTAGTGAGCTTTGATAGATTTATAGACTTAGATTTTTGAATCTGTGTTTTAATGTTAGGAAATAGTAACTGCTGGTTTCAGGAGGCAAAAAAGAAACTAAAGAACAAACAAACTTTGAGTTTAAAGGATTCTAGTATGGTGATGGGTGTCATATTGACACTTTGATTTCCTAGATAAAATGTATATAAGTCTTGAATATCTAAATATATGCCAGTTTAAGTGAAATTAATGATTGATAGTTGATAGCTTGTATCTTTCAGGGAGCAATGGTCAGATGCAGGCGGACATGGCATCTATGGCACCTCTTACAAACCAGCCACGTATGTTTTATTTATTATCAAGTGGTTGTGAACAAACTTTCTACATTCAGTGTTTAATTTTAACATTAAATTTGACTCTATAAAACAATCGGATATGGAGCATATTCAAAGCTGACAGATTTTATCTGTGGACTTGGTTCTCAAATCTGAATGATAGTAACTAAACCTGATTTCAGCAATCTTATCTTTTCAAAAAAATAATTGGTTGTATCATAATGTTTAGAAATTTTTTTTTAAATGAATTTTTTTTGGGTGAAAAGTACTTATAAACTTGACCAATAAAAATGACCAGATTTTGTTTAGTTGTTGCCCAGAGATTGATGAACTCTTGATGTCTAAAAGAAGAAAGCTGTCTTCTTTTCTACTGTTAGTTTTACATGGAGATAATTTTGTATTGTGGTTCCATGTTATTTAGCCCCAGAATACTGGTGCACACAGACGTACTTTGAACTGGACCAACAAGTCGGAGAAACATTTAAAGTTCCTTATGCTGTGAAAACCGTCACTGTTGATGGCTACACTGACCCCTCCAGTATTGACCGCTTCTGTCTTGGTCAATTGTCCAATGTTCACAGAACTGAGGCCAGTGAGAGAGCCAGGTGAGAAAGCTGTTATTACATGAGAGGGAGAACTGTTGGTCCAGGAAGTGGGTAGAAAAAGGCAGATTAAGAGAATTGATTCTTGGTCAAGGGAGGGAGAGAGAGTAGTTAACCAGTCACCAATATTCCTTCTAAACTCTTTCAATGGCAGTGTGCTTAGTAAATCTGTAAAAAAAATCCTTGAGCTCAAGAATCAACATGTATGATGTACTTCTCTATATTTCTAATTATAATAATTTGTTGTGGAAATTCTACTCTCATTGACTGAGCTCTGCCACCACCATCAAAGACAAGAAAAAGTGAAAGCCCTTTTCTTTTCTGAAGCCGGGCCAGTTACGAGTATGATGAGATACACTTGTAAACAAGTTTCTATTAGTGCCATTTCAGCTTCATGGTGAGTGTTGGAAATATTGAGTTGTACTCTTTTTGTGTGGCTGTACTTTGTCCTTTGACTTTCAGACTTCACATTGGCAAAGGTGTATCACTGGACTACAGGGGTGAGGGGGATGTTTGGATCAGGTGTGTCAGTGATCACAGTGTCTTTGTACAGAGCTTTTACCTGGACAGGGAGGCCGGAAGGGCACCGGGGGATGCTGTCCATAAAATATACCCTACTGCTTACATCAAGGTAAAGACTGGCCACTAGGTGTTGTAGTTCATAGAATATGCCCTACTGCTTACATCAAGGTAAAGACTGACCACTAGGTGTTGTAGTTCATAGAATATGCCTAACTTCTTACATCTGGAATGACCAACACAAATGGCTACATGGGCCAATTTGATCTTGTATCAACTCTTCACTTTGATGGGCCAATTTGATCTTGTATCAACTCTTCACGGGCTGCAAAGAAATAAAGTGAAATAAATAATGTACACAAGCATTTTTTGAAATTCATGCACATATTTCTCAGATGACAACACATCTACTTGTGCCACTGCCACACATTAATATATATAAAAGTTATATATAATGTTGATAAAAGGTGCCTGTTATTGTCACTTTGATCTACAATTATTGTGGGATGAAGGACCGGAAATCTAGGACACCCACCTAGTCTGCCAAGCTAAATGGGGGAGGGTTCTGGAGGGGGGCTGAACCCACACTCCTAGCAATTGTTTTGTAATGTTCAGAATGCAGGGATGCATCATTTCACATAGCTGAAGTTAGTTTGGCATCATTACAGTTAAACCAAAGAACAAAAGAATAAATGCTTGTGAAAACGTAGGTTTTCTTTACCTAGCTGTGTTTTATCAATCTTTTGAGTACTTACTAAATATTCACAAGGGTGGCCAACCCGCAGCCCCGATGGGTTAAATATTGTGGCCTGTCACCTGTGTCACAAATGAACTTATTTCTTTATTCATTTAGCGATTACTATGAAAAAAAGTGCTCTATATATTTTTTAAATATGCGCCTTTGCCAGGAATGAAAATAATCACTAATTGAATGAAAAAATAAGTTTATTTCTGATACAGCTAGCAGGCAACAATATTTAACCCTGGTTTACATCAACGCAAACAGTACTCACTAGGTGTTGTAGTACATAAAGTATAACCAACTGTTTACATCAAGGCAAACAGTACTCACTAGGTATTGTAGTACATAAAGTATAACCAACTGTTTACATCAAGGCAAACAGTACTCACTAGGTGTTGTAGTACATAAAGTATAACCAACTTTTTACATCAAGGGCTCAACCTTTTTAAGTGCTGTGATTCCTTGATAAAATTTGCCAAGTTGTGGCAACCCAACACCAGTATTATTCCTAGAAATTGAGGAATGGGTTTTGAGAAGTTAAGGGGAGCTGAATTTGAATGTAATATCTTATAATTCCTAATTTTTTATGCTAGATAAAAGATAAGAAATAGTCAAAATTTAAAAATAAAATAAGCTGGTAACATCTACAGCATAAATAATAGTCTTTTTTTTAAATGTATCTGTAGTGTGACAACTAGTGTTTTAAAATGAAATGTTTATAAACAAGATTTCAGATTTTAAACAAATTCTCAATTTCTAAAGTTATCAGGTGGCTCCTGGCATATTGTCAGATGAGTGTTGACCCACAGTTAAAGAACCCTTGGTTCACATTAGTGGTCAGTGTCTTACTGAATAAGCTCATAGCTAAAGCTTACAGAGGAATATTTCAAGATTTGCCTGATGGTCACTTATGTTTGAACTATTCCTAAATAAGGTTACGGGGTACAATGTAGGCTGCTAAAATAATGCAAAACATACATTTATTGTTCATAAAAATAATCTTAGTATTCAATATAAAATGATATGGAATTCAGAAAAAGCCATCATTGTTGTGGCCAAGTAATTTCTTTTCTTATCTTGAGCCATTTCCCCCTGCAGGTGTTTGATATAAGACAGTGTCACAGACAGATGCAAGAACAGGCAGCTACTGCACAGGCTGCAGCAGCAGCACAAGCGGCAGCTGTGGCTGGGAGTATTGCTGGCTCATCGGCTGTTGGAGGTAACATGTCAATATACTGATTGTGCTGGTGTCATATCTGATTTTATGTACATATCAATTTCATCTTTTCCATTTGTGAACCAATCATAATGTTAAATGTCAATAGAAACATATTAGAAATTTATCACTGTGTCCGAAATATGGTAAAAGGGGCCTCGGGTAGGCAGATCGTATGCCCCTGTATTTTGTAAACTTTTTCATCTCTCATTCTCTTTTTTTTTCACCATTTTCACTCTGACTCAAGCAAAAAGGAATACATTTTTTGCTACGTCTAGCTATTCACATAGTGCTATTTTGGTTTTAAGTAGCATTTTTTTTAAAATGTGACAGGTGACATTTGTATTAGCATTAAGAATTTTTAAAGCATTTTTTAAGCATTATTTTGTGGAGCTTGATTATTTTAAAGAAATTTTAGACTTTTTATTTTGTATTATATGTTTAACGTATTCTCTTTAGATATTTACTAAAACTCTTGATATTTGACCAATCAAAACAATTCTTTAAAGCCCTTGACAAGCCACTAATATAATATGTGACATGTACAAGTCTATGATAAAGATTAACTATTTCATTGTCCTAGATTTCTAATCCATAAATCTTTATGATTTTACTTATCTAAAACATGTTTGTTTTGTTGCAGCAAGCTTGTCGGCAGCAGCTGGTATTGGAGTCGATGACCTCCGTCGACTCTGCTTGCTCCGCCTCAGTTTCGTCAAAGGCTGGGGCCCGGACTACCCCCGTAAGAGCATTAAAGAAACCCCATGTTGGATCGAGATCCAGCTGCACCGGCCCCTCCAGCTGTTGGACGAGGTGCTTCAAGCCATGCCCAACAATGACTTCAAGCCAGGCATTTCTTTCTTTCTGCCATGAATCTTATACCTCACGAATGAGAATTTCCTCGGACAGACCTTGGGATTTGTTTTGGATATTAAGCAACATAATCACTACAAGTCTGAAAGAAGGATACTGTTTGCACATGGTCATTCATGCGTCATGCAGATCTTGACTTTTAAAATAGCCATTTCATTGGTCAATATCATCGGAGAGCACATTATTGGATTCATTAGGTTAATGTAATTTTTACAGAACATTTCATTTGATTTGCTGTATTGGGGTATTGACCGGAGCCAAATTGTTAGTTCAACTACTTGTTAATTCAACAACTCTCTGAGCACACATTATTGGATTCTTTGGGTTAGTGTACAATTTTCTACAGACCGTCTCAAGTGATTTGCTTTGTTGACTGGAACAAATGTTAATTGGTTAGTTCAACTTCTCATGTTATTCAACAAATCTCCAGCTGTTTTTCAATAACTTGTACATGTGTTGCCCAGCATTTACACAAACAATTGTACATGTGTTGCCCAGCTTTTACACAAACAATTGTACATGTGTTGCCCAGCATTTACACTAACAGCTGTGTGGTAATTATCAATCCAAGGATCACTCAGTCTGCTGTGCTGATTGGATGGTCAAAAGTTCTTCTGTTTGTTGCCTTTCTATATATATTTTTCAATGATTCTGACATGACATGTTCCTATGACTATTAGGTGTTCATTGATATGATGTGTTCCTATGACATCTGTACTTAATTTAGCATTCAGATTTAATCTTTCACTGAACTCTAGGATTCCAGAATTACATTTTTAACAAGTGACCAGCTTCTGTCTCATGTTGGCCTTCTCACAACAACCCAGTCCTCCCCCACCCCATTAGATAGTTCAAACTCAACAAGTTGGCATGCAGTACACCAAAGACCTGGCTTCTGTCCACTGAACTATTTAATGGTTTAAAATAAATATTGCCTGCATCTTTTATTAGTTTAATTTTTTACAGGAGCATGTCATACTTAAGTTACAGTACTTGAGCCTCTGTTGCACAATGCTAACATATAGCTCTTAAACTTCTGTTACATTGGAATCTGAAGCGCTTAAAGCTATTTGTAAACTATACATTTATTATTATATTAGTCAGATCTATGGCTGTGTGCTGTCATGATCAGATATCAGGTTTTGTCTTGCACAGTTCCATGATTTTTCTATGTTAGATCCAACAGAGGAAACGTTCAATGAATTATATCGGAAACTTTGTAGAAGTCATTTATTGATACTAATAACTCAATGCCCTGATTTGATGGCTTTACATATAAGGTATGATCCTTGTCTTTAAAGCACAACTCATGTTCTGTACAACATTAATTATACGGTGACACTAATCATACAGTGGCAGTGGAATGTGACATTGAGTGTCATTTCTGTCACCTTACATCTGTTGTCAGTTTTAACAAATTTTGACAAGAGTTAATGTTGTAGTGTATACTTTATGGTGAACCTATCATGCAGCTGCTGGCAGGAACTATCTTGTTGTTTGAGCACTTTTTTCACTTGGCTTGGAAGTTGTAGTTTTAATGTGGAAATATCTTAATAAAAATTAACTGGTATATAAAGTATGTTAAATATTAACTTTGTTCTATAGAATTTATATAAAAATGTTGCTATGTGTAATATGGACTTGGGGAAAATCTGTCAGGTAAATGGTTGAAATCCATCGAGAAATTCTTAAATTTGAATCGTAGAATCATAGAACTTTAAATTTGAAAAAAAAGCTCTTTTGAATGTCAACAGCATTATTTCAATATGTTTTATTTATGATTATTGTGTGACTGGACGGTCTAGTGCTGACCTTATGAGTAATGTCTGTGGTCAGTCTATTGCTGACTTTATGGGTTATGTCACTGGTCAGCATAGAGCTGATCTCATGGGTTAGTTTTGTAATGTAACCAACTTTGCAGCACTAATGTTGATAAAAATGTTATTTAGGGTAGAACGAACCTGACCTCTATCATCATAAACTCTCATTCATAGAACACAGAACAATTGGTCATCTCACCCATCTCATTTCTATAGTTTTCTATGTTGAAGTTTCTTACATTGATGATGGCAGCAAGCCACTCATATTTCAAATCTGCGAGTGTGTCAGGGTAAATCATGCCCAATTATCTTAGAGACTTCAGTAGAAGAGATGGACTTGCTAAAAATGAACTTCATTAGAACAGTTTGTAACATTTATTGATGTAGTTTTGATTATGATAGGTTTCTTACTTAAAGGCAGGAGCAACATTATGTGATAAAAAAAACCTGTCAAAGCTATTGTTTACTGTCAGCAGTTGGTCAAATTTGGCCAAAAGTGATTTCTAGATAGGAATATTGAGAGATGGGAATTCATGAGATTTAACATTTTATAGTTGAAATAAAAACCATTTTTGACATTGGACGTCTACTTAAGAAGAATTGGTCTCATTAAATATGCATTCCTGGCACTACTTGTACTCAATGTCCGTCTCATTACTACAGGATTCTGGGAGAAATATCACAATTGGTCAATGTTCTATCATAATTAAACTGGACTGTTGATGTTTTACTCAAACTATTTTCTTTATTAAATCAGCCAGTCTGTTAGATGTATGGAGATGTTAGCTGTACTGAGATTTTTGCTGTTTCTTATAAACTAAATTTTTGCCCGTGTTAAGTAGGAACAGATGTTTGCTAATGGATGGTAATATTTTCTTTAATATTGTTTGATCAGTTAGTACATTGAGATGTTTTCATATTTAAATCTTCTGCATATGTCTTAGTGTATTGAGGTGTTTTGATGTTGGATAGAACTGTTTGTTGGTTGTATAGTATTGATATAAATTTCTTTCATGATGGTCTTGTGATGCTCTATTTCATTTGTTGACATATCCACTGTCTGATTAATATGCCTCATTCTACTAAAGCAACAATAAAAAATAGTGGTGACTCATGTACAACAGTTGTATGTCTTCCCTAAGCCAATGTTAATTCACATGGCCCATGCTTTGATGCGTCAGTTATGCAGACTCATCAATACAAGTGCCTGGAGCCATGGCTTAGAGGAGCGTTTCCCAAATTTTTGTTTTGTGACCTAGTTATTTTTATACTTCTCATTCGTGACCCATTAACATTTGTATCACCTCCACTGGCATATAGTAATATGTAACAGATATGAATGTCCACACAGTTTTCCTATATTATAATAAAGCATTTACTCATAAAAGACTGTAAAGAAATCAAATTTACCAAAAATTTATTGAGTACGTCACGATAATCTAACCTAGATTTTCAAACATTTATTCCTCTTTCGGCCACCTGGTAATTTTGCTTTTTTGTGACCCAATATTTAGGGAACGCTGGCTTAAAGGATTCGTTTTCATACAATCCGGTCTCATACAGTTCATCCTCAAAGTTCACCTTCATACAGTTCATCTTCATATAATTCATCATCATACAGTTCATCCATGTACAGTTCATCCTCATACAGTTCATCCTCATATAGTTCATTCTCATTCAGTTCATCCTCATACAGTTCATCCTCATACATCATCATGCAGTCCACCCTGAACAAGTGATAACATATTTTTGTGGCTCAGCATCACTGCCTTACTCACTATGGTTTCTCTCAACTATTTTCATTTAAATGATGGACATTAAACATTTTCATTCCTTTTTGGGTGTCTTCCTTTTGTTAGGTTTTTCCCCTCCTTTCAGCAAATAAATTATTTGTTCTCTTGGTTTGATGATATATTTGTAAGACTTAATAGTACATTACCAGAGCAAAAACGCTATAGACACTTAACCGCCTGAATAAAACTTTCAAGACATATGCTGCAGGCAAAAGTTAACCTTAATTTAGCTTACAATACAGGGTGTCTCTTTGGTCTAGAAACATGGACCAAATAGATATTTCAATAAATTTTTCCACATTTAATTAATTTATTTCACATATCTTCAGTTTGATTTCCACCATTTCCTCTACAAATTTTGTAACTTTTAAAACACATAAAACCATCAATGTACTTACAGACTTTAGGGAACCTTTCCATTTTCAATGTTGGTTTGTTTTTGAACATGATAGAATGTTTGAAATTTACTTCAATGAAATAAACAATTTTTTTGGTTTACAGCATCCATAAAAATCATAGGTTATTTAAAAATCATTTGTAGATAAAGTTACAAAAAGAAATTACACACAATTGGTCAAAAGTTTGAATCCTTAACCTGAAATATACTCAGTGTACTAGAACCAGATTCTTCTGTGGTGAGCATAACTGTCTCATCAGCACAAAATTAAATGAACAATTTGTTCGGACTTAAATTTTTCTATGACTCTTCTTGTGAAATTGATAAAAACCCTCATTTGAATATGATCGTGAGTGTGTGAAAGTGATAGTTGTTTTTTTATGCGACACTCTAAAAGCTTCCAGTTTACAGTATTGAGGATGTCTTGCCTCACATTAACCATACCTCCTTGATAACCATTACATTGTACACTTCTTTTTTTTTTTACTCTTAGTTCTTTTCTCCTAAATCTTGCCTGTCCATCATTGTTTTTTCCCCAACTTTGTTACCAGGTATCCAAACTTCCATAACTTACTGTATCCATCATTTTACCCTTGTTATTTGTACTTTTACCAATGTTTTGTGAATACACAAGGCCATGGAAATATTATTATACAAGACACTATAGGAAGCTGTCCTTTCAAATTTTGATGTCTGTGGGAATGAAGTTTATAAAAAAAAGAGGCACATTGTTAAAAGATAGTGAGTGCTGTGATAAACAACAGCTTTATTCTACAATCATCTTATCTGTATACCATTTAAAGCTTAAGCAAGCCTGCTGTATGTGTCTGACTATGGACTCTCATCATTGCCAGTTTTATCGCTGTTGTTTATTCTAGTTCTAGCAAGAGAGCAAAGTAAATTGAACCCGTTTTCTTTTGAATTTGAACCATTTAAAAAATCTCCACATATATTTGAATTGAACAGCTGTATGAATGATAGTAAAAAGGTATAATTACAATGAATTATAATATTTTGAGAAGAAAAAAAAATCTCAAAACAAAAGTTTTTCAGGCAAATTGAGGAAAAATTTGTTTTGTTTGTGTTGCCATTTACTATTTTTGTGGAACCTTGTTTTTGAAATATTTATTTACAATATTATTAAAAATGTTAACAGTTTTGTTGAGTGTTATTTAAATGACTTCCAAAAGTGGTCAGTGTCTTTGTCTGAACATTACTGTACTGTTAGTGAAATCAGCACAGATTATGTAATTTAAAAATAAATTCTTTGTTGCTATGATCTTGGGTTAAATGTATTTATGCATGCCTTTTTTTTTTTTTTTTTTTTTTTTTTTCTTTTTTGCCTTATTTTTTATTTTTTTTTTTTTTTTTTTTGTGTTATTTTTTTTTTTTTTTTTTTTTTTTTTTTTTTTTTTTTTTTTTTTACATCTTTGACCTAATTTTTACATTGTTCTGTATGAAAAATGAATTATAATTAGCTTATAAAACAAACAGAGATTGTTGGATTGATTGTGTTTATGAGTTTCCTCACACCAGAAAAACACATTGACATTTAGAATTAGAATCAATAGTTTTTATTCTTTATATTTGTTTTTTTTTCTTAACATTGTTTAGAGAAGACATCTAAGGAAAAATAATAAGACAATACCAAAGAAAAAAAAATATACAAAACTTTAAAAAAAAATCTAATAGTCAATCAAAACTTCAAAGATTAGTAAAGATATTTTGTGAAAAACTATTAAGTTTTTTGCTGTTTTGAAAAGTTGCTTCAATAAAAGAAATGAGTTTTTCAAAGTGCACATTTGAAGGTAATTCAGTAATAACACAAACTGCAAAAAGTGCAGTACACAAAAGAATGGGAGGAAAAAAAAAGATTTGGAGAATTTTTACTCTGGTCACTTTCTAGTTACTACATTCACACACATGCAAACTGTTTTATCATATGGTGTGGTATGAGATTTTTAAGAAATGAAATCGTTAACTGTAGAACATAGAAAATATCAAATTTTAGGAAAAACACATGTTGAAGTACATTCAATAAAGGTGATGAATTTTGCCCACATTTGTTTTGACGTTTAGCTTATGCAACAAAAGAAATCAAATAAGTTAATGTGCCAAGGGTCTATGTACAGTAATATTAAGTGGCAAAATTTGACATGAAATATAGGCCGATGCCTACTAGTAAATTTATAAAAAGTTGTGCAATACTCCAGTAAAAGAATATGTTTATTACAAATGACAATAAAAAAAGTGTGCTCACAGTGAAAACAACACATCTTCATGTTTGCAAGTTATTTCATCAATCTTAATAAGTCAATAAAATGGAGCTGATATTCCAAAAAGAAAAAAATTGTTGAGAAAGTTCCTATCCATGAATAGTTTGTTATCAAAATATTTAATCAAGGATGAAAATTCTTCTGTGATAAATTATCAAAAGTAAGGCAATATTTAATTGCCACTTGCTAAAATTGATAAGATTTACCATTCTTTACCATTACAAATAGAAATTAAAGTGTAAGCCAATATGCCTGCAAGCAGTTTGTTTGAGAAAATATTGTCATGTATTTTTTGTTTATTTTTTTACAATTTACAGCACCTTGACTTAAAGATTTATCTCTGGACGTCAGACAAAAAAAACAAAAAAACGAAACAAGGCACCTTCTTACATATATTCTTAGTGACAAGGGACCAACACATCGACAGTGATCACCACTATTCATACAATAGAATACTATATTTTGTGAGTGAAAATTTTGGTTTTAAAAGTATAATATAATATCACAAAAAACCCCACAAAAATAGTTACAACTAAAAAATATATACCACATGAACTCATTAATAAATAATAAAACTGGATTTCAATGTTGCAGTTGATGGAGATGGACAGATCACCCTGTAATAAATACAGCTAGACTAGGAGAGATAAAATGAGACTTGTGCCTGCCCTGCGCAGGCACCTATCCTATCACAGATGATGGCAGCAAAGTTAGCTTAAATCAGCTTTTACTGCAAAAATATTAAATTAAGGTTGTTTTTTAAAATACCAGGGGTTTCTTTTGTTTTTGGGGAGGGGGGAGAAGGGGATTAAATCTCACTGACAGCTGACAAAATATTTTTTTTACATGTATGTCAAGATTAGATTTTTTAAATGGTGATCATAAAATAATTGTTTCCAGGACAGGAATGTTTCAACTGGCAAATCATAAATGAAAGAATCTGAAGTTCTGGAGCAGATTTTCAGTGATCTCATCTTAATAATCAGGCATTGATTAATATTTATTGGCAATAACATTTTTCTAGTTCTACATTGATGACATAGCAATGTATTCCACAACTACCTGACATTATAATAATATATATTTATACTTCACTTAACCTTCCGGCAGGCGCGCTTTTTTCACAAAGAGGCCGGGCACAGTGTATCAAATTGATATAGCAAATGTGTGACTGATTAAATAAGTTCATTTTATTTGAATAGTGTACAATAATTTATTTTTTAAATAATTTAATCAACAAAGAATATAACATTGAAAGGTAATTTGAAAAAAACCCACACATGTATAATTGAAATTAATATTTTATTTGTCATGTAATAATGGCTACATAATTCTGAAAGAAAAAGAAGGATATCAAGATAGGACATTGATAGAAGCAAAGATATTACATGAAAATCAAATTTAATTTTACAAAGTGACTCTACTGCTTCGAGTAAGTTGAAACAGCACTAATTTATTGGATAATTTCTTTAAACGCTTTTCTTCTGACAATATTTTGATAATTTCCAAAATGAATACTGGGTAATTTGATCTTGATATCAATTTTGTTTATCCTGCAAAAATTTGGCCAACACTATCTCTTTACGGTGTATGATTGGTCTAGCCACTCTGTCTTGCTGAAATTTTGTGTCTTGATGCTTCCAATGTATTGATTTGTAAAGTACAAAATATCATCACTGAAAAGGAAACTTTGGCATTCAAGATGAGTTCGTGCCATTTTTGCAGGGCCTATAATTCCTTAAAGTTTTTTAATTAATTTACTACTTCTCAACATACTCTGTTTAAAGGTTGATTCTTATTCCGTTTTGCTTTTCTGTCTTTTTCAAAAAAAAGGATCATCTTCAATATCATCTTAATATTCTTCTGATTGCCAATCTTTCTTACGAATTTCAACTGCATCTTTGCTCTCTGCGTCAACCTCTTCATCTTCAAAATCTGCTTTTACTTCTTCAAAAACTTGAAAAAGTACTCTTTTAATTTACTCCATATCCTTGAGATTTGTGAGATCAAACATTTTGTTACCACCCTCCATTTTAGACAGCAAAAGTAACCTGAAATATAATGATGATCAGTATAGATATCTCGTTTTGTTGCAATGTATAAATTTGATATTTACTATTTAAAAACACACATACATTATTTAAAGATAAGCTAAAGTATCAATTTATGTACACAAATTTAAAAAAGCAACTTACCAAAGCAGGAAAATAATACAATTATCAAACTTAAAAAAAGTAACGTGCAAAGGCGCAGTGTATCATTTTGAACAAAACATAAAAATCTGCACCCTGAAAGCATTTTGTACACACTAAATGGTCTTTGTCTATAAAGGAAAGGAAAACATTAAGCTACTGATAAGCAGAGCTCTCTGTCATCTCTCATTAATGTGTGCAAAACAAAAAATGTTGGCATGTATCTGATCAGACGCGCCGACCGGAAGGTTAAATCACCGCAGCCAGTTATTTTGAGAGACCTAATATTGCAATATCAGGAATGCAGGTAAAGTGTATCAATTTAAAAAAAACTAAACAAAACCAATGCCATTTGGTGACCAAAAAAAATTACATTGCCCATTGAGAATATTATTGATAAAATCTTGACATCTTAGTGTAAGGACATGAATGATATTAGCACCTGGTGTATGCCAGCCAGTTCACTATTCTACCATGTCACTTCAAAAAACCTGATCACTAACTGGTTAAGACAAACAAATATCAGATTGCAAGTGAACATACAAATTTCTTTCTTAAACACAGTCACCTGTGTTCTGCATGTTCAATAAGCACATGAAAATGCCGCTGTTTTAGTTTGGAATTTTTCAAGAAGAATACTTGATACACATTTACTCACCAAAATGAGTTTGAAAAAAAACATCTAATTATTATTTGATAAATAAAGATCATGCAAAAAAACTATTTCAGATATTATTTATCCAAACTTTTCCAAGTGCTGCAAATCACAATGCCAGCTTTCTTATGTACATTAAATACACATTTAATCTTGGTGAACATTTTATGATATGTTGATGTCAGTAGCAATGTACTCATGTAAAACAATGTATCCTGTGACGTTACACATCATTAACAATGTATCCTGTGACGTTACACATCATTAAAATTAATAGATTTTAAAAGTTATTTTGTTATATTAAGAATTAAAGTAGATCTATATTTTTTGAATATAGGAATCAAATAATCCCCATTAATTTAAGAAAACTAGTTAAAAAAATTTAATTTGAATGAATTGCTCCATTCTCAATAATTCATGTATACACAGGCATTGAAGTTAAAGGCTAAACCTCTATTTATTATCAACATCTTTCACCTTCATAATTTTAGAAAGTTCACTGTCCATGAGAATCAAGCAAAAAAACAACAACATCCTCATGGGATAAACTTTTTAAAGGAGCTCCTTGAAGTATGATCTGGATGCAATGAGCTCAAATCAAAGAAAGTTGTTGATTTTTTTTCCAACTCACCAGGCAGTGTAACTACCACTGTACCCCTATAATTGTCAGTGTTAATGTTTTGATGGTGACTTGGTTTTTTCTGTTGAAGCTTGGACTGCTGGCTGGTTGCACCCCTGTTGCTGAATATTATATGGGGAATCTTTTTCTCCTAAAAGCCAGAATGTGGTGATAGACCCTTTACCCTGAAACATGAGGAAATTGTACAAAATATTGGTGGAAATTATAGACATCATCTGTAGGCTTATATTCTCTAACTGATTTTTAAAACTATTTTTTTTACAATTGCTGGTACGAACATTTTTTGG